AGATCATGATATTCTTGTGCTCATGGTATAGCAAGGTTTTGAAAGTCTTTCATATATTTTATATCATCAAAATTAATTTATTACAGGTTAGGAGCTAGAGCTTTCATTCTTGGTATTGATGTTAACCCTACTTCAATGATTTTTCAAAAAAATATTGGTTAATGGATTTCCCCTCTTGAACTTGAAACAGCAGGTAAAGAAGTTGCTCTTTCCTTCAGATGATAGAGAAAACCATATTCTACTTTTTATAGCTTCTTCTCTTTTGTAGGGAGAATCTACCTGCTCTCAAAGAAGCTATAGTCACTGTTTTATTCATTAACTCACAAATATTTATTGGCTAAGGCACCATAATGTAGTGGATAAAAGTTAGTGAATAAAATAGACATTTTCTGCTTATACAGAGTTTATAGTTTCAAGGACATATATTAAGGATAGATATAAACACATACATGAATACATAATAACAAATTATGATGGATGCTGATGGAAATGAGGACAGTAGGAGAATATTTACATTTGGTTGAGGATGTTGAACCATGCTTTGAAACTATAGAGGCAAGGTAAAATATTCTAACTACAGAAAAATATGTAACTCTGATCTTCTGACTTTTAATTTTAAATTCCTAGTCCTTAGTACAATTGAGAATTTAGAAGAAACAATTTAAGTAATTTAACTTTCCATATTCCCATCTATGATGGTTTAGTCACTGCCTTGGCACTCTTCTGCTTGAGGCGTATAAGTTTTGTAACTTTTGGTTTAGAAGTGACCAAAAATTCCTTTGAAGATATTGAATTATTAGATTATTTTAAATTAATTTTTTACTTATATATGACACAGTAGAATGCATTACAATTCATATTATACATACATAGCACAACATTTTCATATCTCTGGTTGTATACAAAGTATATTCACACCAATTTGTGCCTTCATACATGTACTTTGGATAATGATGTCCATCACATTCCACCATCATTTTGAAATTATTAGATTATTGATTCCATTCCTCTACTGGGCACCATATTTTAAAAATAGATTAATACGGCACCAGAAGGTTTCAAAATCCTTGAAAATACATGATAACCTTTGTGCTTCAATTGTTCCCTAGTAACAACAGGCGAAGAACTTTACAACTGAGCTTATGATTTAGTCTGTCACTGTATGGCTTTGTATATCTAAGTGAAATGGACAAACCAAGCCACTACCAATTCATTTCTTTTTATCATGTTAGAGACTAGATTAATCCATGTTTGGTTTGATTGAATCAGCATTGATGTAATCTAATCTGTTTCATCTTTAATTAGGATAAAATGCTGTGAGAGATACAATGTAGCCCAATTCTAGTTGAACAATTCATTTATGAATTATTGTCAGTAAAAATTTCAGTGGGCAAAAGACTTGGCTTCTTATACATGCTGTTTCTTTTTTAAAAACTATTTTAAAGATATTCCCTTTCAAGATGATGGATGGGTTTCTTAATATAGTCTTTAAATATAAATGTGAAAATTTTGGTATCTCAAAGTGATTTTCTTTTATGTAATCTAAATTTGTTATGTGACTATGTATGTAGCTTTTAAAGCATTTAACATGTCTATATACCTCTCCATGCCCCTGTAGTGTATTTTTTATGATCCCCAAAGAGTAGATGCATTATTGAAACGTGGGATGTTTTTCTATGAAAATGAAAATTGGACTTCAGCCATACAGGATTTTACAGCTTTGTTAAACATAGATCCCAAAAATTTGCAAGCAAGGTAAGAATTATTTTAGGTGTGGTCTTATTTTTGTAATTATTACTCTTTGAAATACATTTTCAGGAAATAAAATTGCTTGAAATATGTCAATAACCCCTTAGAAACAATGAATCAATTTTCAGTGCCACCTGATGGATGGTAGTGAATAACTTAACAGGCATAAATGAAAATTGAGTTATTTTATCTGTATTTCCTAAATACTAGTTACATTGTAAATTTCTAAAGCATTGGCCATTACCTATATTTTTCTTTTTCAAATTTCCTTTTAAAACATATCCTCTGAATACAAAGAATGGATATATATATATATATATATATATATATATATATATATATATATTTAAAATCTTACTGTATCTTGTATATTAAAACTCTTCTTTCAATCTTGTGGTGTATAATACACTTCTCATTTTGTTGTTTTCCTTTTAAGCTGAGCTCTATTTTGAAGAAGTATAAATGTGCATATAGTCAGGCCTATTCATCTCTTCCCTTACAATTTTTTTTATTGGTGCATTATAATTACACATAATAGTGGAATTCATTATACCCTAGTCATGTAGTAAAGCATGCATCCAGAAAAGCAAATGAAAGGGCAATGTGCATCTTAATGACTACTCATCATGTGAATATCCCTGTAACCATCACTAGGTCAAAAAGACATTTTCAGCACTCTGGAAACCTCTGGATCTTTGTCTCCTCTAGAGAGACAAAGAGACTCCCTTATAGTTTTTTATAGTTGCAGCACACAAGTGTACATCTCTAAACATTCTTAGTTGAGGTTTACCTATTTTTGTTTAATGTTACATAAATGGAATTATATGATAGTGTTCATCCAGGTCTAGCTTCTTTCACTGAATATCGTGCACTATTCCATATATTACAATTTACTTATCTATTTTACTGTTGATGAATTTTGAGTCCAGCTTTCAATGATGAATATTGTTCCCTTGAACATTCTTGTGCATGTGATTGGTACTAATACAACATTTCTGTTGTACATAAAATGTCTGGTTGACAGAGTTTGCAGATGTGCAACTTTGGGGCTCAACTGGTTTCCTGAAATGGTTATACTATTAGAAGTTCCACACAAGCACTTAGTATTATTATGTTACTTTCATATTTTAGTCATCCTTGTGCATATGTAGTATGACCCTGTTGGATCTGAGTTTTCTTTTTCTTCATTACCAGCATGATTGCTTTTTCATATATTTATTAACCATTAGATTTCCACTTTGTCTGCTTCTTTCTCATTAATTTCTATAAGCTCTTAAATTTGTTGGTTATTTTTATGGCAAATATTTTTTTCCCATTCCTGATTGTCATTGCATTCTTTAAATATTGTCTTTTGGTAAACAGAGTTCTTAAATGTAATATGGTCTGATATATCATCTTTTCTTCTTTAAGATTCATGCTTTTTATGTTATATAAGAAAGTTTTTTCCTACCCTGAGTATTCTATTTTTATAATTACTTTAAATTTTAGTTTGATCAATTAAAATGGTTGGCACTGTTACATTAAGTTGAATTTTTGTAGGGATGAGCCAAACATGTATCTATTGACCTTTCAATATTTTTTCTTCTATATTATATTGTATATTTTTAAAATTTAGATATTATCAATTTTATGTGAGCTTTATGTATATATGTTCATCATGTCTCGTTTAAATTTTGTGTTAATTTTTAAAAGAAATTTATTCTAATTTGTTATATATGACAGCAGAATGCATTTCAATTCATAGTACACATATAGAGCACAATTTTTCATGTCTCTGGTTGTACACAAAGCAGAGTCACACCATTTGTGTCTTCATATATGTACATGGGGTAATGATAACCATCTCACTCCATCATCTTTTTACCCCCCTGCCCACTCCCTTCCCTTTCCTCCTCTTTGCCCTATCTATAATTTGTCTATTACTCCCATGCTTCCCCTCCCAACCCCATTATGAATCAGTATCCTTATATCAGAGAAAACATTTGGCATTTTTTGGGGGTTGGTTTACTTCACTTAGCATCGTATTCTGCAGTTCCATCCATTTACCTGCAAATGCCATGAGTAATATTGCATTGTGTATATATACCACATTTTCTTTATCCATTCATCTACTGAAGGGCATCTAGGTTGGTTCCACAGTTTAGGTATTGTGAATTGTGCTGCTATTAATATTGATGTGGCTGTGTCCCTGTAGTATGCTGTTTTTAATTCCTTATAGAATGAGGAGTGGAATACTGAGGAGTGGAATAGCTGGGTCAAATGGTGGTTCCATTCCCAGTTTCCAAGGAATCTCCATACTGCTTTCCAAATTGGCTGAACCAGTTTGCAGTCCCACCAGCAATGTATGAGTGTGCCTTTTCCCCCACATCCTCACCAACACTCATTGTTGTTTTTATACTTAATAGCTGCCATTCTGACTGGAGTAAGATGAAATCTTAGAGTAGTTTTGATTTGCATTTCTCTAATTGCTAGAGATATTGAACATTTTTTTCATATATTTGTTGATTGATTGTATATCCTGAGAAGTGTCTGTTCCATACCTTGGCCCATTTATTGATTGGGTTATTTGTTTCTTAAGTGTTAAGATTTTTGAGTTCTTTATATATCCTATAGAATAGTGCTCTATCTAACCTGCTTCAGTCTTTTTGCTAAGGATTGCTTTAGCTATTCTGGGTCTCTTATTTTTCCAGATGAATTTCATGACTTCCTTTTCTATTTCTATGAGGAATGTCATTGGAATTTTAATTGGAATTGGTAAAAATTTGCTCCCATTCTGTAGGCTCTCTATTCACCTCACTTATTCTTTTGCTGAGAAGAAGCTTTTTAGTTTGAATCCATCCCATTCATTGATTCTTGATATTAATTCTTGCACTATAGGACTCTTATTAAGGAAATTGGGGAATAATCTGACACTATGAAGATTTGGGCTTACTTTTTCTTCTCTTAGGTGCAGGGTCTCTGGTTTAATTTCTAGGTCCTTGATCCACTTTGAGTTGAATTTTGTGCATGGTGAGAGACAGGGCTTAATTTCATTTTGTTGCATATGTATTTCCAGTTTTCATAGTCCCATTTGTTGAAGAGGCTATCCTTTCTCCAATATGTTTTTGGCACCTTTATCTAATATGAGATAACTGTATTTATGTGGGTTAGTCTCTGTGTCCTCTATTCTGTACCATTAACCTACAAGTCTATTTTGGTGCCAATACCATGCTATTTGTTGCTATTGCTCTGTAGTATAGTTTAAGGTCTGGTATAGTGATGCCACCTGCTTCACTCTTCTTGCTAAGGATTGCTGTAGCTATGTTATTTTTCCAGATGAATTTCATGACTGCTTTTTCTATTTCTATGAGGAAGTTCATTGGAATTTTGATTGGAATTGCATTAAATCTGTATAATGCTTTTGGTAGTATGGTCATTTTGACTATAGTAATTCTGCCTATCCAAGAACAAGGTAGATCTTTCCATTTCTAAGGTCTTCTTTAGTTTTTTTTCTTTAGCATTCTGTAATTTTCATTGTAGAGGTCTTTCATCTCTTTCGTTAATTCCCAAGTATTTTATTTATTTTGAGGCTATTTAAATGGGGGTAGTTTTCCTAGTTTATCTTTCAGAGGATTTGTCCCTGATGTACAGAAATGCCTTTGATTTATGGGTGTTGATTTTATGTCTTGCTATTTTGCTGAATTCATTTATTAATTCTAGAAGTTTTCTGGTGGATTTTTTTTTATCTTGTAGGTATAGAAAGATCATATTGTTGGCAAATAGCGATAATTTTAGTTCTTCTTTTCCTATCCATATCCCTTTAATTTCTTTCATCTGTCTAATTGCTCTGGCTAAACTTTCAAGAAAACTGTGTTAAATAGAAGCAGTGAAAGAGGGCATTCCTGTCTTGTTCCAGGTTTTAGAGGGAATGTTTTCAATTATCTCCATTTAGAATGAAGTTGGTCTTGGGCTTAGCATGTTCCTGTTATTCCTAGTTTTTCTAGTGTTTTGAACATGAGGATGTGGTGTATTTTGTCAAATGCTATTTCTGCATCTATTGAGATAATCATATGATTCTTATCTTTAAGTCTATTGATGTGATGAATTACATTTGTTGATGTTGAACCAAACTTGCGTCCCTGGGGTGAACCCCACTTGATTGTGCACTATCTTTTTGACACATTTTTTTTTGTATTTGATTTGACAGAATTTTATTAAGAATTTTTGCATCTATGTTCATTAGAGATATTGGTCTAAAGTTTTCTTTTTTTTTTTTTTGATGTCTCTTTGTCTAGTTTTGGAATCAGAGTGATATTGGCCTCATAGAATGAATTTGGAAGTGTTTCCTCTTTTTCTATTTCATGAAATAATTTGAGGAGTATTGGTATTAGTTTTATTTATTTTTTGAAGGTCTTGTAGAACTCAGCTGTGCATCCATCTGTTGCTGGGATTTTCTTGGGTGGTAAGCTTCTGATGGAGTCTTCAGTTTCATTGCTTGAAATTGATCTGTTTTACTTGTGTATATCATTCTGTCAGTTTGGGAAAATCATGACTCTAGAAATTTGTTGATGGCTTCAATATTTTCTATTTTATTGGAGTACAAATTTTCAACATAATTTCTAATTATCTTCTATATTTCTGTACTGTCCATTGTGATATTTCCTTTTTCATCACAAATGTTAGTAATTTGAGTTTTCTCTCTCTTTGTCAGCATGGCTAATAGTTTATCAATTTTATTTATTTTTTCAAAGAACCAACTTTTTGTTCTGTCAATTTTTTCAATTGTTTCTTTTGTTTCAATTTCATTGATTTTAGCTCTGATTTTAAATATTTCCTGTCTTCTGTTTTTGGTGTTGTTTTGTCCTTCTTTTTCTAGGGCTCTGAGATGTAATGTTAGGTCTTTTATTTGCTGACTTTTTCTTCTTTTAAGGAATGAACTCCATGCAATGAACTTTCCTGTTAGTAGTACTGCCTTCATAGTGTCCCAGAGATTTTGATATATTGTATCAGTGTTCTCACTTATCTCT